TGGAGAAGAAGCTCAACATCGCCCCGCGTAGCCGGTGAATCGACGACGCGGCGCGATCCCCAGACCCCGTCTACTCGGACCCCACCTGGGAGGCCTGGAACTTCGGCATTGGCTTCTGACACTGCGTGGATCTCTGACCATGCAACGATCGGCGGCGTTACTATCGCCAGATCGTTCGATGTTGGTCCAGCGGCGGCGCTCAACCTCGAACGCCCGCGGCGGGGCCGGTGCCGCGTGGAGCACGGCACAAACCTGCCGCAGGTGGTCGGCGGCGGGGGCGCTGCCACGCACGGCACGACGCGTGTGTGACGGGGTCGCTGCCGCGCGGGGCTCCAGGTGTGTGGGCCAGTAGCTGAAGGGTGCTGCCGTCTGGGCGCTGCCGCCAGGCCTCGAAGCAGCCACGCGGAGGGCCCGGGGGCGCGCTCGGGGACCCCAGGAGCTGGCGCAGCGGCTCCAGGGGGCGGCATCCAAGCTGGCCGGGGGCCAGGAAGCCCAGAAGGCGCGCCCACCGATGGCACCTGACCACTGGGCGTCGAACTGTCCAGTCGCAGCGGCGAGAGTCCGCACCGCGAGTGGGCGCAGCCGTGGGAGGCAACGGGGCCGAACTGGGCACAGCAGGCGACGGAAAGAGGAGGAGCGCGCAGAGGGGGTCTGGGCATCGAGCACAGTTTACGTCGCAGCGCGGCAGAGGCGGCGCGCACGCGCGCCCCAGGTGGGCCGGGAGCGGGCCAGCGAAGGGGCCGGCTGCAAGAGGGGAGAAGGAGGCGGAGGGCGGCCGCCAGAGCCTGGGACAAAGAGGGAGGGGCGAGGGGCACTCACAGCACGAGGACCTTCGCCAGGGGCGGCCGGCGCGGCCAGCATGTGCTGAGAGAGCCTGGCAGTGGACGTGGAGCGGCATCACGGCCACACCCAGGGGCTGAGGCAGAGGCTGCAGGCGCACAGAGCGTAGCTCAAGTGGTGTCAGTACGGGAGGAGCGGCAAGCGAGCCCACGACAGCGAGAAAGGAAGCACCAAGGTGTCCGTCGTGAAGCCGTAGGCGACAGCCTTTGCTGCAGGGGCGCTGCGCGAGCAAGGTGCGAGCATCGCCGGAGCGACCATGGCGGGCTGGGCCAGCTGGCCGTGCATAACCAGCCTCGAACGCATCCCTATCTCTAAGATGGGCGAGCAAAAAGCGAGGACAATCTTAGGGATCCGCCCTCAAAAACTGAGGGAATCCCCAAGATTGGTATCGTGATGAGGAGGTGCCCAGCATAGGGATAGGGATATGCTCCAGGCTGGCAAGTGCAGCAAACTGCTGTCAGGACGCCCACCAGAGCGGCCGAGCAGCTCGGCTGCAGCGACCGCACCGGTGGTGAGCTGCAGCTGCTGCGGGGGCCACAGGCGGCCGAGCTGCGGCGGCTGCACAGCCGAGTTATATGGCGAGGCGGCCCACCGCCAGAAGGGAGCGCCACCAGGCGGCGGGGCGGAAAGCGGGGAGGGGCGATCATTACCAGCCTGGAACATATCCCTATCCCTATGCTGGGCACCTCCTCATCACGATGCCAATCTTAGGGATTCCCTTATTTTTTGAGGGCGAATCCCTGAGATTGTCATCGCCTTTTGGCGTGTCAGTCTTAGGGATAGGGATACACGTTCGAGGCTGGTAACACCAGAGCGGCCGAGCAGCTGGGCTGCAGCGACCGGGCCGGTGAGCTGCAGCTGCTGCGGGGGCCACGGGCGGCCGAGCTGCGGCGACGGCACAGCCGAGTTATGGCGGCGAGGCGGCCCACCGCCGGAAGGGAGCACCCAGGCGGCGGGGCGGGAAGCGGGGAGGGGCGATCCGCCGAGCCTTCAGTCGGGCTTGTCCCCCTGCAGGGGGATTTTGGATGAAGAATGAAAAATACCCCAAAAATACCCCAAACGTACTCCAAAAATGGTCAACAAATCGTCCCCAGATATTCTTTTGAGTATTTTTGAATATTCCTCCTGTAGAGGGACCGGCCCGACTTAAGATCAGCCGAGCCAGTGCACGCATCACAGCCAGGAGCGCCCAGCCGCGGGACCGGCTGGGCGCGGGCACCCCGCTGCAGGAGCAGCGGGGCAAGGGAGGCCCGGCAAAGCTGCGGCGAGCGCATCGCATAGGGAGCCTTGGGAGAGATCCAGGGTCTGGGAACCAGGGCTGGACCTGAACGATGTTTTGGCGACTTCGTGGGCCGTTTTCATTTCGACTTCGTTTTGCGGTAGAGGTGGATTGAAGACAAAACGAGGGAGGACGAAAACAAGACGAAAACGAAAAACACCGTTTAGGTTCATCCCTGCTGGGAACTTCAATCGCGGACTGGCCATGAGATTTTTCCGCCGCAAGGATCGGATAGGGAATCGTGAACGGTCTGAAAGCATTCAGGGCCACGCTGGGTGTGTACATGTCTGTCCTTGCATCGTCGTCGCATGCGTGCAATTTGGGGCACTCCTGGCCTCGCACCCCTTCGCAGTTTTGGGTTTTCCTCTGCTGTCGCCCGCTGCGCTGGGCACGGAGCGTGTCTTCTATGTACTGGCAGCAGGAGCAAATTCAAACCTAATCTCTTGAAAGTCTCTGCTGGAGTGCTGCTCGAAACAGCTCTCAGCCGACCCGCGCGCACGCAAAGAATGGCATCGAATATCCGCAGGCCGCGGAGCAGCACAGGGCGTGCAGAATCCAGAGCAGGAGCTAAACGTCTGCAAGCGTTGACTCCAGCGTGCCGTGGTGTGACGTCCGCCATCGCGCTTGCAGCGGTTGGCGTGTGCATGCATGTCCCACCCATGCATGTATTGGTTAGCTTCGCGGCACGCGAGGCAATGACTGAGCCCCCCGAGGTATCGAATCCGATGCGCGTTCAATGTGCAATGCCAGGTCACTGCATCTCCTCTGCAGTCCCAGCCACAAAGCAAAGGATATGGATACAGCGCCGCGTGGCCCCTGACCCCCGCCCGCGCGCATGCCCTCCTGGACGCCCGCATGCCCTCCCCAGCTCCCGGGATGTCCGTGTTTTGCTTCCCAGGCATCTGAGGTCGTGAAATAGCTGCGTGCTTTCTCTCGAGCGAAAACGCGGAGGTAACGCTACCACCTCTCTGCAAGATTCTCAAGCCTGACAGAAGGGGAGGTAGTAAGAGGGGGGTTCGCAAACGGCTCACATGGCTGGTTCTCCTGGCGCCTCCTGGCACCAGAGGCGCCAGTGCCTCGAGGAAAGCCGTAGGTCGGGCATGTCCTCCTACAGGCGGATGTTGTACGATTAAAAAAAAAAAAAAAAAAAAAAAAAAAAAAGTTTAAAAAAACATAAAAGCGGTCCGACATAATCGAAAGTTCGTCCCCAGACTCATGTCCGACTATTTGTGAATATTCCTCCTGCAGAGAGACATGCCCGACTTGAGGAAAGCACCCGGAGGCGGCGGGGCCGAAACCAGCTGCACGCATCAGGGTTCGACCCCCCCCCCTTTCCCTACAGCGGAGGCCAGTCCACAAGAGACCTTCCACAAGAAACCCAACCCTGAGACCCCAGGACGTCCGTGCCTCGTCCGACCCGAGATCCCTCGAGCTCGAGGCGCCCGCGAGGGGGCCCTGGGCCTCCAGGGCTCGGGGGCGACGAGAGCTCCCGCTCCGCCGCGGCGCTCTTCCCCGCGAGGCCCGGGGGGCTCAAGGGAGGGTCCCTGAGCGCGACGCGGCCCCGTTGTGGAGGACCCTCGGCCCAGAACGTCGGGCTGCCGAAGAGAGTAAGAAGGAGCGCTGAAAATCTGCCTCTGTGCCTCCCGGAGCGTGGGGGCGTGGAGGACTGCCAAGGGCTGTCTGGCAGGCGATGGCGCGTGCCAAGGGGCCCACCCACCCCTCGCGTCGCGCCCACCTGCGTGCACCACCTTTCCTCCCGGGGGTCCCTGGCGCCAGCGGCGGCGCCCGCCGCCGGGAGGGGCCCCGCACCGACCCACGACGTCCGCGCGGACCTCGTTCATACTCGTGCTGATGTGTTCTTCTCACAGCTGCCACGGTACGCAGCACGCAACACGTAGCACGCTGATATGGAGCTCCACACGCAGGCCAGGAACGTGAGCCTGGCGCGACGCGCTCGCCAGAACGTGGGCCAACGCGTGCCGAACCAGCACGCGGAGCGCGTTCGATACAGGCGTCTGGAACACGGTGCGTGCTGCGTGCCAGCGCGGGCGTATCAGGGCAGCCAAAGTGATGCCCTGCTCTTCTCCGCGGAGCCGCCCCCATGTGATTAATCGAAAAAGGACCCCTGACCCGTTTGGAGGGGACTTCGGTTAGGAGGGCCACGAACATTAGGCTAGGGGGTCTTTCCTGCATGCGTATCGAACCAAACCGCCCAGAATTGTTACCCCTGCTGCAAAAAAGACGGGGACCTAAGTGAGGCCACGTCTTCACTGTGTTTCTCAGGTTTAGGGGCTCTTCTATTCTCGATGACCCCGCTTCACTTCCGCCAGCAGTCGCGGGGGCCCTCCGCAGGCTTCCGTCCGCGGGGCGAGATGCCCCGACCCCTCGGCGCGCCGCAGGCGGTGCCCTTCTTGGAGGGGGGCGCCCCGCCTCGCGCCCGAGCCCGGCTCGCCGCTCCGCGGGCTCAAAGGCTACGGAAACCGGGGAGGCGCAGGACTCGGGATACCGTCGTCGTCGCTGTCGCCGTCGTCCTCGTCGTCGTGGTCGCCGGCGAAGACGCCGTCGTCGTCGTCGTTCGGGGGACTCGGGCTGCCCCGACAGGGCCGTCATGAAAACGACGGGGCCCAATCGTGAGCTCACGCTGCACGCATCCCACGAAAATCAGACCGTCAGAACTCAACACGAGCCTGTCAGAAAAACATGGGCAAAGCCGAGCTCCGGCGAACTCGAGTCTTACGCTTCCCCGCTTCCCCAGAAAGGTACCGATATCGCTGCCCCACGGACCTCTCCCGTGGTGCGTTCTGATCAGAGCTTCGAGGCGAATCCAGCCGTGGCGACGAGTGCCTCCCAGGAGGCCCCACAAGGCGACAACGAGGGAGGGTCAGCGGTGGCTGTACCTCTCCCGCCTCTTATCCACGGGCTCGGCGGCTCCGGCCGCTAGCTGGCCCGGGGCCGCGCCGCTCACCGGCTGCTGGGCAGCAGCGGCGGGGGGTCCCACTGCACCATGCCCGTGGCCACGTTCCAGTAGTAGCTCCGCTGGTGTTCCTCCAAGGCTCGGGCAGGCCTCCTACTTCTCCTCCTCAGCCTCCTCCTCCTCCTCAGCCACCTCCCCCTCCTCATCCACCTCCCCCTCCTCCTCCTCCTCCTCCTCCTCCTCCTCCTCCTCCTCCTCCTCAATCCTCCTAATCCTCCTCCTCCGTCTCCTCCTCCTCCTCCTCCTCCTCCTCCTCCTCCTCCTCCCCCTCCTCCCGCCAACCCTGTCAAATAATGCAGTGCGGGCCACCCGCAACGACATCCTTCCAGTGCCAATGGTTTTTCATACGGAACCTATGCTGTGTTCAATGAGAGCGTTCACCAGACTCGGAATTCCTGCGGGCTCGCACTCCCGCATGAGCCTCATCAACGCAAGAGGTAACAGCAACCGAATCATCATCTTCTTCTGTTTCATCATCAGCCTCGTCGTCATCGTCGTCGTCACCAGCACCCTCACCATCACCATCATCATCACCCTCATCATCAGCAGCAGCAGCATCATCATCACCATCATCATCAGTAGCATCATCCTCATCCTCATCAATAGCAGCAGCATCAGCATCATCATCGTCAGCAGCATCATCATAAGCATCATCACAATCAGCATCATCAACATCAGCGTCAGTATCATCATCATCATCATCATCATCATCATCAGCAGCAGCAGCAGCATCATCATCATCAGCATCATCACCTGCATCATCAGCACCAGCAGCATCATCAGCAGCAGCACTATTACCATCATCAACATCACCATCATAATCAGCAGAAGCAGCATCAGCATCATCATTATTACCAGAGACATCACCATTCGCATTAGCATAGTCATCGTCATCATCATAAGTATCGACATCACGATCATCACTATCCTCATTATCGTCAGCATCAGAAGCAGCATCATCATTAACATCAGCAGCAGCGGCATCGTCAGCAGTAACATTAGAATTCGCAGCATCATCTGCATTAGCATCATCAGCAGCATCATGCTAATCATCATCAACATCATCATTAGCATAATCCTCATCATCATCATCAGCATCAGCATCATCATCATCATCATCATCATCATCATCATCATCATCATCATCATCATCCTGATTATGATGATCATCAGGATCCTCATCATCATCATCAGCATCATCGTCATCATCCTCATATTCATCCTCCTTATCATGATCAGCAGCGTCATCATCAGCATCATAATCATCATCACCATCACCATCACCATCACCAAGCACAGCACCATCCGCACCATCAGCACCATCTTCTTCATCCTCGTCCTCACCCTGATCCTCCACCTCCTACATACTCTTTCTGGCATCGAGGAGAAAGGGCCCTAAAATGGATGCGTCATGGACCCAGGAGAATTACCCCTGGGACCAGCTCTTCATCCCAAATCGCTTTTGACGGTCACAAGGCCAAGGGAAAGCCACGAGAGCCCGAAAAACGGCGAAAAGCATCAGAACCCGCTTCCGTAAGAACCCGCTTGCTCCATGGCGACGAAGGGCGGGGGTCACGGAAGCATGATCCGTCCGTCCTGCGACCATGCCGACTGCCACGGCGAGGCCGGCGGGGAAGCCAGCGGCGCTGACGTCGGCGCCAGCGGCGCCTGCAGGGCCATCAGAAAATAGCCAGGGAAGAAAGAATCGCAGCGAAGGAATGGGTCGAGGCTTCCGGGGGACGGCAATTGGAAAATCGAACAGTCCGGGGTCCGGGTACGGTTGGCTGGAGTGGTTGCGACTTGCGCGTTGGTCTCTGACGCCGCGTGGACCGTCCAACCATGAATGACCACGGATTTCCGACCCCGCCGGACGTTCGATGTTGACCGAGTCCTGCCCAGTGATTGCATTTTTCCGCTGCATGTGTTCTTCTTTGTGCATGAATCACGCCGTTCCCGCAAGCGGGACGAGACGTCCTAGGGCGCTCGATCGGACTTCTGCTTCTGTTTCTGTTGCCCAGTGGCGGCGTTCAGCATTGAGCGCCCGCGCCGGGGTCGCCGCCGCGTCGACGCGGCACGCCGCCTACCGTACAGCAGGCAGGCCGATGCAGAAACCGGCCGGCCGGCAGGCGCCCCACGGAAGCGTCGACGCCACGGAAGTCTCGAGGCGCCTTCAGCAGTGGACCAGATCGACGTCCAATGAGCGACGACACGAAATTGCCTGGCGAAAGCGAAATTGCCTGGCGAAATTGCCTGGCAACGAAATTGCCTGGCGAAATTGCCTGGCGAAAGCGAAATTGCCTGGCGAAATTGCCTGGCAACGAAATTGCCTGGCGAAATTGCCTGGCGAAAGCGAAATTGCCTGGCAACGAAATTGCCTGGCGAAATTGCCTGGCGAAAGCGAAATTGCCTGGCGAAATTGCCTGTGCGACGTTGAACAGGTCTCGAGCGAAATTGCCCGGCGACCCTACGCGGTAACTTACGCAGGTCGCCAGCACGGCTCGCCACACTGGAGAAACGAGGGCAAGCACGCGCGACCATCTGCGGGCGGCTTTCGCGCGACGAATGCCCAGACCCGCTGTTCTGTGTCGATCTCATGCGCACGCACTCTTCTCATGGCGGAATTCCTCATCGCATCGGGGACGCACCGACTCGGTTCAGTGCAAACCCGGGTCAGCCAGGCCCTGCAGGAACCTGTGAGATGCTGCAGGATCCTGCGCACTGACCCGGGCCAATGCCATCCTGACTCTGCAGGATCCTGAAAAATTCGGCGCTCTGGCTGACCCCCGTTTGCACTGACCCCCGCCTCAAGGCTCCCGATCGCAAGTATCTACCATATGTCTGGGCATGCCTGCTCCAGACGGCCAGCTTTCGCACGGGCGGCCCTCGCGCGAATGTCCGCGCAGTCGAACTCTTTTTCTCTATGGATCAAATACGCACGCACTTGTCGTATAGCAAGACTCCTTATTGGTACCCTTGGGAAGTCGATCATCCATACTATCGGTGTCGACTGTAAATATCTACCGCATGTCCGGGCCTGCCTGCTCCAGACGAGAGGGGGGCGCGGGGACAGCAAGCGACCACAACCACGCGCCGAGACACAGCCTGAGCACACAACCGAAGTGTTCATGTCGAGGTCGGTGGGCTCTCATGCGAGGGCCCCTCCCGAAAAATCTTCTCAGTTGTGGTTGTCGTTCTCTGTTGTGCGCGAGGGGGAGGTCTGGGAGGAGGCAGAAGCGGCAGGGGAGGCGGAGGCGGAGGAGGCGGAGGAGGCGGCGGAGGAGGAGGAGGAGGCGGCGGAGGATGAGGAGGAGGATGGGGAGGAGGAGGCGAAGGCGGAGGCGAAAGCGAAGGAAGAGGAGGAGGAGGAGAAGGAGGCGGAGGAGGAGGAGGAGGAGGCGGAGGCGGAGGCGGAGGCGGAGGAGGAGGAGGCGGAGGAGGAGGAGGAGGAGGAGGAGGAGGAGGAGGAGGCGCAGGCGAAGGCGGCGGAGAGGAGGAGGAGGAGGAGGAGGAGGGAGGAGGAGGAGGAGTAGGAGGAGGAGGAGGAGGAGGAGGAGGGGAGGAGGAGGACGAACGTATGCCTGGGCCTGGCTGCTCCAGACGGGAGGGGGGTGACTGCGCAGGCGGGCCGCGAGGGGGCCGAGGCGCCTCCGCGGCCCAAAGCGCCTCCGGAGCCTCCGCGGGCCCCGGAGAAGCCCAGGAGCTGCCGAGAGCGCCGGGAAGCCCTGCTGTCCTCGTCCTCCTCCTCCTCCTCCTCCTCCTCTCCACCACCTCCTCCTCCTCCTCCTCCTCCTGCTCCTCCTCCTCCTCCTCCTCCTCCTCCTCCTCCTCCTCCTCCTCCTCGTATCCTGCCGATGCTTCGACAAGCGCAAGGCGAAGGGAGAATCGAGACAAACTCACACCAATATGAATCGGAAATCTCTTAGAATCGGCGGGTTTGGAGGACGTCTTGGGCGCCGCGGCCGTTCCAGAGCGTTCACAACGCTCTGGGAGCGTTCTGGAACGCTCTGGAACGGATCGAGGCCAATCAGGAGACTTGAAGATGCTCGCCGAGAGCGCCTGGCAGGCTTGCTGATCCTGCCGACTCTTCGAAGCATGCTCTCGGAGCGGACGAAAGGGCAGGATAGCAAAGGATACGTAGGGTGGAACATCAGCTCACGCATCTGGTTTCCAGGACGCCTCGAAGCGCCAGGAAGAGCCCAAATATCGAGGAACGGGCCCAGCGGCGGGACGGAACCCAGCTGCATGCAGCAGATGTCGCAACCTCACCTTTCCCTATCCTACCCTTTCGCCCGACCCGATCTTCGACAGATGCTCACATGAGAGACCTCCAGCCCTCTATACTCGAGACGAGCGCACCTCTCCATGCTCGACATCATCCAGCAGCGCGGCTGCCCGCCCCTCTTCCTCATGATCGCGCCGTACGAGTGGTTCCTGCCCGCAGTGAGGGCCGAGACAGGCCGCGTGCCGTCGGCGGAGCCGAACGGGGTAGACATACGTGGAGCCAGCTGCTAGCACGCGACCTCAGGATCATCGATCCGACATCAAACCTACTACCATAAGGAACGCGACGTAAGGCGTAAGGGACAAAGTCTTTCTTGGTCCCTCGGAGCGCCTGGGTGAACGAGGAGCTCTGGAGGAGCAACCGTGCAAGGACACAGCAGTAACACCGAGCCCCTTCCGAGCCCGAGCTGCTCCTTGATTCAGCGCCTTGACTTCCCCCCGGTGATGGCTCTCGTGCCATACGTAGCTCGGGCTTCCGGCGGTCGTTCAGGACGATCCGGGCACCCCCAGAACGCTCTCGGCGAGGCGCAGCCGATGAATTGCTTCCCGAGGCTGGAAGGCCGCCGAGAATCAACGAAACCATCCGAACCATCAAACCTCGAACCGCTCCCCACGCCCAACGCCAGCGGGCACCGGCGCGACTGGCGCCCGAGCCTGCATGAAGCACGCCGCCGCGGCGGCGGCGGAGCCCTCGGCGCGCGCACACGCAAGGCCGCTCTCGGTGGTGGCTCGACAAGCTCAGGCCCAGCCCTTTTGTGGCCAGCGGCGAGCGGGATTTGGCAAGCGGTCGGCTATGGGCGGGGCGCGGCGGGAGCGAATCGGGCACACATGGAGGGGACCGCGGGACAGAAACGGAGAGACAGAGAGAGAGAGAGACGGAGAGAGAGAGAGACAGACAGACAGACAGACAGACAGACAGACAGACAGACAGACAGACAGACAGACAGACAGACAGACAGACAGACAGACAGACAGACAGAGGGACAGACGGACGGACAGACAGACAGACAGACAGACAGAGAAACAAACAAAAAAAACAGATGCCTCCCAGGAATCTGGAATCCCGTTTGATGGGGGTGGTCCCCAAACGACCTCCTTGACGCATAGCAAACATGCGTCCACAGGCCCACGCACAGAGCCCCTATGATCCCGCAATTGGCTCACGCCGCCCACAAAGAATACCCAGGAAAGCCAATCGCGAAGGTGGCCCCAAGAGGCCCTGCTCGACCTCCTCCATCCCCCACCTGCCCCATCCCCATAATCCGACTCTTTGACGCCGATGCCAAAGAAGAAGACGACAAAACAAGACCACTGATAAATATATATATACTAGAACCACGCGCGCGCTTCGCGCGCGCTTAGGTTCTGTCGAGTCACAGACCCAGGAATCGTTGCGAGAAGAAATTGGTGACGCGAAGCGTCTTGGGGGCGTCCTTGGACGTCTGGGGTCTCCTGGGGCCTCTTGAGGGGCCTCCTTGGGGCCTTCTTGGGCTCCATCTGGAAGCCAAGATGGATGCAACAAGAGGGTGCTTGGGCTCTCCGTGAGCTATCCTCTGGTTTTCATTCCCCTGGAGAGGAGAAGGAGGAGGAGGAGGAGGAGGAGGAGGAGGAGGAGGAGAGAAGGAGGAGGAGGAGGAAGATGCAGAGGAGGGAGGAGGAGGAAGGAGAGGAGATGTTGGGGCGCTCTTGGGGCCCTCTTGGGCTCTCTTGGGGCTCGTCGGGGCCCTCGTGGGGCCACCTTGGGCTCTTTTCGGAGCTCCAAGAGGAGCCCACAGAGGGGCCCAACATCGGTCACGCGAGAGCTCTTTCGCGTGACCGATGTTGGGGCCCTCTGGGGGCCCTATTGGGCCTCCTTGGGCCCTCTTGGGGTCTCGACGGGGCCCTCGTGGGGCCATCTTGGGCTCCTCTCGGAGCACCAAGAGGAGCCCAAAGAGGGGGCCCAACATCGGTCACGCGAGAGCTCTTCCGCGTGACCGATGTTGGGGCCATCTTGGGGTTCCTTGGGCCTCCTTGGGCCCACGTGGGGCTCCCTCGGGGCCCTCGTGGGGCCATCTTGGGCCCCTCTTGGAGCTCCAAGAGGAGCCCAAAGAGGGGCTCAACATCGGTCACGCGAGGGCTCTTCCGCGTGACCTATGCTGGGGCTCTCTTGGGTCCCTCTTGGGCCTGCTTGGGTCCTCTTGGGGTCTCGTCGGGGCCCTCGTGGGGCCATCTTTGGCTCCTCTCGGAGCTCCAAGAGGAGCCCACAGAGGGGCCCAACATCGGTCACGCGAGAGCTCTTCCGCGTGACCGATGTTGGGGCTCTCTTGGGGCTCTCTTGGGTCCCTCTTGGGCCTCCTTGGGCCCACGTGGGGTTCCCTCTGGGCCCCCTCTTGGGCCCGTCTTGGGGCCCTCTTGGGCCATCTTGGGCGCCTCTTGGGCCGTCTTGGGGCCCTCTTGGGCTGTCCTGGGGCCCTCTTGGAAGCTTCTTGGGCCGTCTTGGGGCGGTCTTGGGCGCCTCTTGGGCCGTCCTGTAACGTCGGAAAACCCAAAAGACAACTTTGTTGAAAATGTACGTTTTACGAAGGGAATGGGCCAATTTTTGCGTCTAGGGGCCCTCTTGGGACGCATGTTGGAGGCTTCTTGGGGCCTCTTGGGGGCGTCCTTGGACGTCTGGGGTCTCCTGGGGCCTCTTGAGGGGCCTCCTGGGGGCCTCCTGGCGGCCTCTTGGGGCGGAAGGCTCGAGCTTGCGGTTCGTGGTCCCCCTCTGGGCCCCCTCTTGGGCCCGTCTTGGGGCCCTCTTGGGCCATCTTGGGCGCCTCTTGGGCCGTCTTGGGGCCCTCTTGGGCTGTCCTGGGGCCCTCTTGGAAACTTCTTGGGCCGTCTTGGGGCGGTCTTGGGCGCCTCTTGGGCCGTCCTGTAACGTCGGAAAGCCCAAAAGGCGACTTTGTTAAAAATGTACGTTTTACGAAGGGAATGGGCCAATTCTTGCGTCTAGGGGCCCTCTTGGGACGCATGTTGGAGGCTTCTTGGGGCCTCTTGGGGGCGTCCTTGGACGTCTGGGGTCTCCTGGGGCCTCTTGAGGGGCCTCCTGGGGGCCTCCTGGCGGCCTCTTGGGGCGGAAGGCTCGAGCTTGCGGTTCGTGGTCCCCCTCTGGGCCCCCTCTTGGGCCCGTCTTGGGGCCCTCTTGGGCCATCTTGGGCGCCTCTTGGGCCGTCTTGGGGCCCTCTTGGGCTGTCCTGGGGCCCTCTGGAAGCTTCTTGGGCCGTCTTGGGGCGGTCTTGGGCGCCTCTTGGGCCGTCCTGTAACGTCGGAAAGCCCAAAAGACAACTTTGTTGAAAATGTACGTTTTACGAAGGGAATGGGCCAATTTTTGCGTCTAGGGGCCCTCTTGGGACGCATGTTGGAGGCTTCTTGGGGCCTCTTGGGGGCCTCCTTGGACGTCTGGAGGCCATCTTCAGCATCTCGGAGCCCTCTTGGAGGCCTCTTGGAAGTTTCTTGGGCCGTCTTGGGCGCTTCTTGGGCCGTCTTGTCTGACTGGGAGGCCTCCGGCAAGACCCGACGAGCCTCCGGGCCCCCCGGGGTGCACATTTGCGGTCGAGGTCCCGGCCCCGGGCCCCCGGACCCGGTGCGCCGTTATATGTATATATGTATATCTATACACACATTTTTAACGACGACGACGACGACGACGACGGCGACGGCGACGGCGACGGCGACGGCGACGGCGACGGCGACGGCGACGGCGACGACGACGACGACGACGACGACGACGACGACGACGACGACGACGTCGACGAGCGAGGCTGCGGCGTCCTGGTCGGCCGCCGGCGCCGGGGAGCCCGCCGGCCGTGGTGGCGACCTCGGGCGGCTCGTCCGGGCCGCCGACGGCCGCGACGACGACGACGACGACGACGACGACGACGACGACGACGACGACGACGACGACGACGGCGACGGCGACGGCGACGGCGACGACAACGGCATCCCGAGTCTTGCGTCTCCGCGGTGTCCGTAGCCCCCATCAGCCCGCGGAGCGGCGAGCCGAGCTCGGGCGCGAGGCGGGGCGCCCCCCTCCAAGAATGGATGCCGACGGCGACCACGATGACGACAGCGACCACGAAATCGACGGCGGCCACGATGGCGACGGCGACCACGATGACGACGGCGACGGCAACGACGACGACGACGACGATCTCGACGGTGGCGAGAAGCTCTCTCTCTCTCTCTCTCTCACACCAGCCCTCTGTCAGTTCCTGCCCCCTCTCTTGCATTGTCCTGCATCCCTTCTCCCTCCTCCCGCCGTTCTCCCTTCCAGGTCCCCGCAGAAACCCTTGAGACCACTTCGAATTTTCTGGAGACGTCCAAAACTAGTGCCGAACTTCCGAGGGGAAGAGGCCTCCTCCACCTGCTCCCTCCCTCCATCCCGCTTCATCCGTACTGCTGCTGGAGGGTGCCGACGCCGACGACCACGACGACGACGACGACGACGACGACGAAGACGACGACGACGACGGCAGCGGCGGCGGCGGCGACGGCGACGGCGACGACGGCAGCGACGGCGACGGCGACGGCGACGGCGACGGCGACGGCAGCGGAAGCGGCGGCGGCAGCGGAGGCGACGGCGACTACGACGACGAACGACAGGGGCGGCGGCGGCGAAGGCGGCGACTACGGAGGCGCCGGCGAAGGCGGCGAAGGACGCGACGGCAAGGACGGCGACTGCGAAGGCGAGGCGGCCTGACGGCGGCCGAGGGAAGGGCGACGCTGGCGGCGATGACACACGACAGGGACGACGACGACGACGACGACGACGACGACGACGACGACGACGACGACGACGACGACGACGACAACGGCGACAACGACGACGACAACGACGATGACGACGACGACGACAACGACGACGACGACGACGACGGCGGCGACGACGGCGACGATGCAGGCGACAACAGTGCAGACGATGGCGCAGAGGACGAGGAGCCGGCGCGCCCGGGAGGCCCGAGCGGCGCTCGTTTCGCTTGCGCGCGCGCTTGTGCGAGTTTGCCGCGTCGTCGGCCCCGCCCTCTAAGATCTTCGGGGAGGCAGGACGACAGTGCAGATGGATCGACGCATGGCACCATGCGACAGCGAAAGCGCGGACCCGGCGATGGAGGAGGAGGACGACGCCGACGACGAGCACGAGGCAGAGCGCGCAGCGCGGCGGCCAACGACGGCGGCCACACGCCACTGGGAGGAGAACCATTGCGCTGATGATATTGGTGGGGCGACTGCTGATGGCGGTGATGGTGCGAATGCTGCGCGCAGCTCCGCCTCGCTGCTCGGCGTGCTCCCCTCTGCGCTCCTCGTGCCCACGCGGCGGGGCCCTCGGCAGCGGCCGGCTCGGCTCGTCGGCGCCCCCCCGCCCTGCCCGCCGCGTCTCCTGCGGCCGCGCCCGCGGGGCGCGGCTTGCCACCGCGGCGACCCCGACCACGGGCAGCAGGCGCTGGGTCGACGCGCAGCCCTTCAGGATGCCCGAAACGCCCGAGCGTGAGCCTCGACTTCAAAAGGAGATGCAGCTGGCGCCGAAGCGAGAGCGCCAGGGCGGGTTCGGGGGGTCCAGCACGAATAGCTGTTCGGCTATCAGCGTTCAACAACGGCAGCAACAGCAGCAAGTACTTTCAGACTGTTCGCTCCTATCTGCTCGCGTGCCACTGAACATGTATATCCCCAACCCTCGGTATCCGCCCTCTTCGTCTATGATCGTGCCCACTTCGGGGGTATGTCTTCCTTGCCTGCCACGTGCATGCACATGACTCGCGAGGAGGTCTCGAGCGAGCGATAGCGCGATTCCCAAGTACATCGTGAGGAAATCTACAGCGAGAGCGTGATTCCTGGGTGCGGCGCGGCGTTCCAATACATTGCGAGGAGGTACCACGCGAGAAAGCGATTCGGAATCCCGCACGTGTGTGCGATTTTGAACAACAACTTGGGAAGTATTAAGCGGGAGCCGTTGTTGTGGTGAACTGGTGGCCACCGAAACAATCTGAGGCGCAAGACCTTCTCATGTAAAAAGCAGGGTGCAAGCCCCAGGACAAGCACTTTATTTGAAAAGCAGAATGGGCAAAGGGCAGGGGGGAAGAACAGTAATTTTCTTCAGGAATTAAAACTCAAGAAGATCAAAGCAATCATCGTTCTTATCTGCTCGCGTGCCACTCCACACGTATATCCCTGACCCTCGATATCCGCCCTCTTCGTCTCTGATCATGCCCCCCTCGTGGGTGTATCGCGCACCTTCCTTGCCTGCCAGGCTTCGTTCGCGAAGCCTCCCAAACCATGGAAAAAGGGAGGAGGGAAGAGAGAACGGGGAGAGAGAAGGATGGAGCACGACAGAGACTAGCAAGAGGGGGGCAGGAGCAGAAAACACAAGCGGCAGGCGGGCGGGGCGGGGTGGGAGGGCGGGCCCAGGCGGCGGGGTCGCACGACGGGTCGCGGAAGCGTCCGTCCTGCACGAACCGCGAGGGAGTCCCAAGGGACAGCGCGATTCCCAAGCAGGTCGTGAGGAAATCGATGCCGAGGGCGCGATTCCCGAGTACTGGCGCTGCGGAGACTCAGGAAACAAATGGCTAGGAGGTTCCACGCGAGAGCGCGCTTCCTAGACAAACCGTGAGAGTCCCGCGCGAAAGCGCGATTGTGAAGAAACTATGAGGGAGTATGAGGCGGGAGCCGCTGTTATAAGTCGGGGGCCAGAGGAGCAGTCTGACGCACAAGACTTCCCCTTGTAAAACACAACGTGCGAATTCCGGGAGGTCTCGAATTGAAAAACACAATGAGCACCGAGCAGGTGAGATCAACAACAATTATTCTTCAGACATGAATATTCCAGCAACAAACAACAACAATCAATCCTGTTAAGGCTGTTCGCCCTTATCTGCTCGAGTGTCCAATAACGCGTATTTCCCAGACCCTCGATACCCGCCCTCTTCGTCTTCGATCGAATCCCTTTTGGGGGGTATACATTTCTTCCCTGCAGGCCGGGCCCCGGCAAGCGGCGGGGCGGCCGCGGACCGTCGGCCTGGCCAGCGGCAGCGCTGATCGGCGGGGCGGCCGCGGACCGTCGACCCGACCCCAAGAGGGACGGACAGGGGACCGACCACGACGACGACGACGACAACGACGACGACGTCGACGACGACGGCGGCGACGACGACGACGACGGCGACGACGACGACGAGTGAACGCGAGAGCGAGAGAGAACGACAGCAGGGCCACGAGGACACGAAGTAGGCCACGAAGGGCGACAGCGGGGACACGAAGGGAATGCGTGTGATGCCACGAAGAGCGCGAACGAGCGGGGGCCACGAAAGGCAGATAATGCGGGGCCACAGAAGGCAACGATGGGGCCACTGAGGGTAGCAACTGGGCACCGTAGGACAGTGAGGGGGCCACAAATGGCGACAGCGGGGCCACGAAGGGCATGCACATGGGGCCACAACGGGCGCGAACGAGCGGGGGCCACGAAGGGCATACGTATACTGGGCCGCGGAGGGCAAGGACGGGGCCACTGAGGGCAGCAACGGGGCCACGAAGGGCAGCGAGGGGGGCACGAAGGGCGACAGCGGGGCCACGAGGGGCATGCATATGGGGCCACCACGTGCGCGAACGAGCGGGGGCCACGAAGGGCATACATATATGGGGCCACGAAGGGCAGCGAGGGGGCCACGAAGGGATGCAACGGGGCCACGAAGGGCAGCGAGGGGGGCACGAAGGGCGGCAACGGGGCCACGAAACAAAGCGAGGGGGCCACGAAGGGCTGCAACGGGGCCACGAAACAAAGCGAGATCCCGATTCCTAAGTAATCTGTGAGGGAGTCCTAAGCGTGAGCGCGACTCCTGGGTGCCTGGGTGTCGGGAGCGCGGCGCTAGAGTAAATTGCAAGAAATTCCAACGCAAAGGCGCTACTCTTCAGCAAATTGCAAGCAAGTCTCCAGCGAGAGCGCGACTCCAGAGCGCCGGGAGAGCGACTCCTGAATAAATTGTAAGGAGGTCCCAAGAGACAGCGCGATTCCTGAATAAAATGAAACGATATCTCCGGCAGGAGCGGGGGTCCTGGCAAAATTGTGAGGAAGTCTTAGGCGGGAGCCGTTGTTGTTGTAACCCGGGGGCCAGGGGCCCAGTTTGAGCCTCAAGACTTTCCCTGATAAAAAACAGGGTGCGAGCGTCGAGGGGCACACTTTGATTGAGAAAAACAGTATGCACAGGTGAGGGGGGATGAACAGTGATTATTCTTCAGAAATGAAAGATCAACATCAACAACAACAAAACTGCACAAACATAAACTGACAGAGATCCTTCCGCCTCTCTTGGATCGGCGCTAGAGCGCGCCAAGAGCAGCGCCAGACGCGCCGCCATGGGGGACCACAGCGCCGATCCGAAAAATCCGCGCGGAGCTCCGAAAAGTGTATGCTTGTGCAGTTCCTCTTCCTCGACTGGAGCTGAGTCTTGCCGGCGCTCGACAGGCCCCTGGCGGCAGGCGACCGCGCCCACTCCGCCGCGGCCTCGAGCTCGCGCTCGTCGTCCGCAGGACGCCGCGCCGGAGCCGGGCAACGGCAGACAGCGGGCCCCTTCCGCCGCAGGCGCCGAATCCCCACTTCCTGAGGGGGGCTACCGCTCGGCGGGGCGGGCCTGGCACAGGTCGCCGACCTCCAGCCCGAGTGGCCCCCCTCCCCTCAGGAAGCTGTCGCTGTCTCCTCCTCCTCCTCCTCCTCCTCCTCCTCCTCCTCCTCCTCCTCCTCCACGCCGGCTCAGACGCAGGCGCCGACGACGACGACGACGACGACGACGACGACGACGACGACGACGACGACGAACGACGACGACGACGAACGACGACGACGACGACGACGACGACGACGACGACGACGACGACGACTGCAGCAGCGGCGGCCTGGGGCCGAGCAGCTGGGCGGGGGCCGGAGGGGGGGGCGCAGGCCGCTGGGGCGGCGGCGTGCTCCACCGCCTCTTCTGGGAGAGCACGTCGGCGTACCTCCCGGCGGCGGGCGGGGACGGTGGGGGCAGGGCAGGGCGAGGAGAAGGCAGTCTGCGTGCCCGCTCTACAGTCGGGCCGCTGAAAGAAGGAACGCCAAACAAGGAACGAAGCCCCTTCTTGACCCTGTAGGCGCCTCCGTGCCCCAGGACGGCGAGAGGAACAGCACTGGAGGACCCTAAGGAACATCGAGCCCCTTCCGAACCCAAACTGTTCCCTATTTCAGCGTCTTGACCGTAGTGCCAGAGCGGTCCCCTGGAGAGCAGACGAGCAATCGATCGCAGGGCCAGCCACACGCCGCGTGAGCAGCCTCGCGGTTCCACGAAGGCGATGGCTGTTTCCGGCGGCACGCGGGAGTGGCCTTTGGTACGCGGTTGGAGGGGGCCGCGGGGGAAGCCAAATCCAAGCAATCCAAGCAATCCAAGCAAGCAAGCCAGTGCTGGTGGGATCCCTGCGTGCCCGCACCAAAGGTCACTCCAGCGAAAGGTCACTCCTACGCATAGCCGACTGCTGCAAGCGGATCGCCTGTCGCGCCGAGGCGGGGACCACCTGGAATCGGCGATACATCGCCTGCAGATCGGCGATAGGCCCCCGACAGCAAATCCGCACATTTCTGGTCGGGGTGGGGCTATCAGGCCCCTATCGGCGATCAATGGGGGATTGGGGGTCGATGCATCCCCCGCTGAACCTATCCCCCCCTAACGAGGCCCCTGAGGGGGAGGAGGGGGGGGGAGGCGTCGCAAAATCGTCATGTTTCGATGAGGTCCCTATGAGTTCGCAGGCATGCCGTGGACAAACCTCCCTTTAGCAAACCTCCCCTTAGGAAAAACGGCCTGTGACAGAAACCGACGGACTTGAACCCGCAGAGCTGACGGCCGTGACGCAAAAAATGACAGCCGCGACGCACTCTCGCGAACCGAAAACGGCCAATTCGCTAATCGACGTGTCAGGGTAAGAGGTCTGTCCACCTCCGAAGGAGGGGGGGCGTCGCAAAATCGTCATGTTTCGATGAGGCCCCTGTGATGTCGCGATCATGCCGTTCGCATCACAAGAGTTAAGTCGGGCGTGTCCCCCAACATGGGAATCTTGGACGAAACATTAAAAATAGTAAGAGATATCCTAAAATATTCAGAAATTGTCAAGAAATGGTCCACCGACTATTTTTTGTCTATTGTTGAATTTTCCTTCTGTAGAGGGACAGGCCCGACTTAACGCAAGAGAGGGCGAGAGAGGGGGGAGAAACAGGGGGAGGCGCTCTGCCGGGGCCGGCCGGCCGCCCTGGAGCGGGACGCGCGGCGGGGCCTCGGCTCCGAGGCTCCGGCAGCGAGAAGCAGACTGGAAGAGCACTGTCGTAGCGCTGTGGATGCCACGACAACGGACGCCCTAACAGTCCCAGCACTGAGTTTAACATGTGTTTGAGATGTCGGAAACATGATCTAAACATGTTTTAAATATGTGTTTGAAACATGTTTGACACATGGTTCAAACATGTTCGACCCGAAGCTCCAGCAGTGCGAAGCATTGGAGGCCTGGAATTGGGCACCACCACCAACACAGGGCGTTGCCTCCACAGGGGGAAGCTGATCCTCGATTTCGGCGTCGGTGGTAATACTTCGGCCACCTTGGAAGCCCGAATATTACCACCGCCTTGGAAGCCCGAATACTACCACCATCACCGAGATCGGGATATTCTTCCCTCTGTGGAGGCACACCGCCGAAATTGGTGCTGGTGTCAACCTCTAGGCCTGCGAAACCAGATTGGAAAAGCACTGTCGCAGCGCATCACCGACTGGAACGGCGGCGGGGGGGAGAGTTGAGCAGGGACCGACCGTCCCGGCATTCCTGTAGTCCTACCGCGAAATGCTTCTAGAACCCAAACATGTTCTCAGAACAAAAACAATGTTCTTAGCACATAAACCCGATGTGTTAAAACAAGACAGTCCCAGCCAGAAATGTTCTAAGAACATCTCGCGCATACCATAAAGGGTCTTAGAACATTGTTTGGTGGGGCTATAGGCGAGCCGGGACGCTCCGCCACTGCTCGGGAGAGGGGAGGCATGCGCGCCGGCAGGAAAAACGCTCGTGAGGCGTGCGCGGCAGCGGGCTCGGGTCTCCGACGACGATGTGGCCCTGCCGGCTCCGGCGCTCTTCTCGGTGTCGGCCTCCGGGGCCCACTGTGTCGCGCCCTGGCACCATCAAAAATGGATCCGGAATTACGCTACCGAGGAACCCCACATACTTATATTATGGCTGGAGTGATGATAGCCGTTGGTGACGCCACTCAAGAGGAGAGGTGGAAGAGGAGAAGCGCCGCGCCAGCCACACTTTGCGAGCCCCGTGACCTGGACGACCGGCGCGCATAGCGCCCGCGGTGAGGGACCACCCCCTGCGCACCCCGTCTGGCGTCGAGAAAGGGCCCACTATATCGCGCCCTGGCACCATCAGAAATGGATCAGGAACCAAAAACGAACTACCTCTGAGGCCCAAGGAAGGGGTCGGGACCTCCGGGGCCGCGCACGGAGAAAAACGTAGCAGTACGCCTGCGGAGAAGCCCCCGAACTCGACCCCGGATACGGGACGCTGGCGAAGAGCGGAAGATGTCGTTCCCCAATGGCGCTTGCCTAAGGGGTTCTTACCCGGTTAAGAAGAATGGTGCCTCGGAGGGGCACGTTGCCCCTTCCCTGGAGATTCTTCGGGTTCCTCGGGTGTTCCTCGGGTGTTCCTCGGGTGTTCCTCGGGTGTTCCTCGGGTGTTCCTCGGGTTCCAAGCAACGCACGGCAACGCCAAGCCATGCCAAGCAGTGCCAACACAAGCAAAGCAATGCCAAGCAATGCCAAGCAATGCCAAGCAATCCCAAGCATTGGCAAACGATGCGCCCAGCGGTGAGCCCATGCAATAGGCTTTCCCCTAATTCGGGTCGCGCCGGGTAATGTTGTTACTTATGTTTGTGTGTGTGCTTCTGCGTTGGGAGTTTTAGCGCAGAACGGGAAACATCATCGGTGGCGGGTGCGCCCAGGGAGGAGGGCAGAGAGTGCGGGCCTTATCGGAAGGCTCAGAAGGCCTCTGCCCTTCTGCAGAGCTTTCTGAGCATTCTTCGGAGCCGCGGAGGGCTTCTCAGAGGGCGGGCGGGCGTCTTCGAAGCCCCACCCCCTCTCGAAATCAGGGGCAAGAGAGCTCGGAGCCACACCAACACCGCAGTCGCAAGGAGCAGAGGATGTTACCAGCCTCGAACGTATCCCTATCCCTAAGATTGACACGCCAAAAGGCGATCCCTCAAAAAATAAGGGAATCCCTAAGATTGGCATCGTGATGAGGAGATACCCAGCATAGGGATAGGGATATGTTCCAGGCTGGTAAGGATGGGCCTCGTGGCGGTGCGGTGTTGCTGCCCTTCCGCACATCCCGCTCGAGGCGCCTCCAGTCCCCCCAGCTCTCGGAGGCGCCGTGGCCCTCCTCGCCAGGAAGGGGGGGGGGTCCTGCCGATGGTGCTGGTGCCGGCTCTGCGGCAGAAGAAGCGGGAGGAGCGGGCGAGGTGCCTCGCTGGTTCACTGCTCCTGGTCAAGTGCCGCGCTGAGGTCCTGCTATAATCTTCTCCGCATCGCTCCAACGGTTAACGGATGATCCCTGAAGGGGATCCTGACCGAGTGCAGCGCTGAGGGTCCGAGCCCAGGACAGCCCACGAGGCGGAGCGCGCAGGCCACGCGCGAGAGCCTCGTTGTGCCACCGTGCGGGAGAGGGGAGGCAGAACAGAGGCCGAGGCGAAGAGAGAGAGGGTTCGGGGCGCCGAAACCGTCCGGCAGCGGACGGCGCGGTGACCTCGGCATCCCCAACGACCTCACCCTGCTGTCCGTCACCCGCACGGTGTTGGGACCTCGGAGGCCCCAGTCGCCCGAGACGTCCTCGGAGAACGACCCGAGTCCCAAGAATCTGGTGACCTCGAATCCCCACTGACTCACCGTGCGGTGTGATCACCAGACCGATTCAGAGGAAGCGAGGGCCCTCCGGAACTGCAGAAGAACACCTCCAGCTACCGACAGCCGAGCCAAGACGATGTCTGGGACGGGGGGGGGGAGAGTGGGGCGACCAAAACCCAGAGGGCGCAGGCGGGGGCAAGAGGGGCGAATTACTAAGCCAAACTCAAGCGCGTGTGACGATGTGACTCTCCATTGACACCACTCGGCGGCCGTGAGTCGAAGACTGACAAGAGGTGCTGCGGCAACTGCACAATCCACGCCTGCCGCTGACAGTCTTAGAAACATGCCAGGAACCCCACAGCCCGGCTGCGCAGAAGCAAAGGGTCGCCACTGTGACTGCGTGTGGACGTACTTGGCGACGTTCCTGAGGTGCTCTGGGGAGCCTCTGGCAGGCGGCTCAACAAGCGGGAGAGAGGACAGAGGAGGTACAGTCCGCGCCTGCAATATGAGGCCTCGCAACAGGATGGCTGTAGTCGACCATGAGAAGAAGGACGAACAGTGAGCAGGCCAGACCCGTGGACGTCGATGCTGCAACGAGATCGGCAGAGGAAAGCAAAGGCACGGGGCCGAGCTAGCAAGAATGCCAGGGCAGCCCGGCTGAAGCACTGCATCCTTGAAGCTGTGCTTGACCCGTGGGGCACTTCGTCAAAATAAAGCTACCCGGACCTCTCGAAGCTAGCACTGCCCCAGGGAGGCCCACCTTCTGGGACCGATACCGCTGCTCCCCGGACCTTTCCCGGAGCGCGTTCTGACCAGGATTTCGACGCGAACCCAGCGGTGGCGACGAGGGCCTCCCGGGAGGCCCGAAGAGGGGAAGACACGGGGGGAGGGTAAGGGTAGGGGTACCTGTTCCTCCTCTGGCTCGTCCTGACCGGTCGGCCTGTGCTTCTGGAGTTTCGCCCGGTGGGCGCCCGTGCCCGCCCCGTGCCCGCCCCGCACGCTGGCTGCACCTCTCGACGTGCGGCACTCCCGTGCCCCCCGCGCGCCCGCGCCCCGCGCGCCGGCTGGCGCTGCGGGAAGTGTTGGCCTTCGGGCCCGCTTCGCGGCCGCCTCGTGCGCTGGCTCGCTTTGCGCGACGCACGCATAGCCTGCAGCGGACCAACGCTGTCCCAGCATGGGCTAGAATCTCCTACACACACACACAACCCAGCCTGGGGTAATAGCACCACTGAGCGAATTGTCATTTCAACAAGACCATGCATGGCACACGGCGGTGGTTTTTTAAACGACAAAAATCCATCCCACGCCAACTGATATCGACCCTCGTCATCACAGTTGGATACTTTGCGGGACACACGTGTTGCGTTCGAAAAGCGAAATGTCGAATCATCCCTTGGAAAATATATGCGGTGTTGTGCACAGGCGCGCGCCGTCACGCGCGCATGTCAAAATCATTAAATTGTCGAAGGCTGGGAGGTGAGATCGAAGTGGAACGGAGAGCCCCACCACCGGGAAATCGGTTTCGGTTTCGTGTTTGTGCGTGCCGCGCGTGCGGGTGAGGCGAAGCTGCGTTCGGGAGCGGCCAAGAGGGGGGTGTCCAAGAGGGGGGGTGCAAATCATGACCGGCGGCACGTGCGCGGCCCAGCGGGGGGGGCCAGGAACGCAATGAAATAAGAAGAGGCGCCATGAAATCTGAGGAAATATCATGGCCCACGCCACGATATCCACCCCCCCTAGTCATCACCCCCCTCTTTTCCGCCCCCGATGCGCGGGCGGGCGAAAGGAAAGTTGGCTGAGGCGCGGCCGGACCAAATGATTCCCCCCCCGGCAAACGGGGCCGCGCGGTGTCCCGCCGGCGTCCCGCTGGTGTCCCGCTGGGGTCCTGGTAAGTCTCCTGTGGCTGAGGCGCGGCCGGACCAAATGATTCCCCCCCCGGCAAACGGGGGCGCGGGGTGTCCCGCCGGTGTCCCGCCGGTGTCCCGCTGGTGTCCCGGTGTCCAGCTGGTGCGAAAACGATACTGAGACCGATAGTGAGATCGATTGTGAAATCGATTGTGAAATCGGTAGTGAGATTGATAGTGAAATCGATCGGGTGAGACCGATGGTGAGATCGATTGTGGGATCGGTAGTGAGAGCGATAGTGGGATCGATAGTGAGATCGGTGGGGTGATATCGATAGTGAGATCGATGGAGTGATATCGATAGTGAAATCTATAGTGGGATCGAAAACGAGATCGAGAGTGAGATCGACAGTGAGATCGATCGAGTGAGACCGATAGTGAGATCGATCGAGCGAGATCGATAGTAAGGTCGATAGCGAGATCGGCCGTGGGATCGATGCTGAGGCCGATAGTGAGATGCAAGCCGAAATGCAAATCGAAATGCAAATCGACCTGCACATCGACATGCACATCGACATGCAAATCGACAGGCAAATCGTCAGGCACATCGACATCCCGCGCTGCATGCCGTGCCAAGAGCGAGCAGCAACGCAACAATCTCCGAACACCAGGGCCCCCAGTGCGAACGTTGGCGAGACAGGCTCTTAAGGGTCGCTCCAAGAAGCTCCCGGGGGGCCCCACGAAGCCCCCAAGAAGCCCAAAAAGGCCCCCATGAGGCCCCCAAGAGGCCCCGCAAGAGGCCCCCAAGAGCCCCAAGGGGCCCCTAAGGCGAGCCCAAACGGCCCCCAAAAAACCTTGCAAAATGAACTAACTATTTTATTATTTCGTCGGTTCCCAGGGGGGGGAATGGCACCGAGGCGCCCGAGAGCGAAGGGCGACGTAAACAATTCGGCACCAAGGCCCCAGAGAGCGAGCCCGAAACGCAGCTATTTCTGAGCAACAAGGCTCCCATATCGAGCGGGATCGATAGTGAGATCGATAATGAGATCGATCGAGTGAGATCGATAGTGCGATCGATCGCGCGAGATCGATTGTGAAATCGATACTGGGGTCCACTGCGAGATCGATTGAGTGAAACGTTGAGCCCCCCCCCCCCGCCCCTCAACTCTCTTACCATTCAAGGATTTCGGCTCAAGGCCTCTGTTGCACTCGGCGCGCGGGGGGGCCGCGAACGCACCCGCTTCGGTCACGCGCGCCCTTCGCCCTCGCCACGATGGGGCCAGGCTTTGCCAGCCGAAATGCTCGACGAGAACGTGGAGGCGCTGAAGAACATGAACGCCCAGACGGCCAAGCACGCCAAGCGGCACGTGAAGGTCCTCGACCAGAAGGCCCTGGATTACACGCACACAGCGAAGAACGAAAAAGTGGAGGCGCAGAGGAGTTTCAGTTGCTTCTGATGCCCCACGCGCCCGCGCAGCACATGCTCGGCGCGGCGCCCTTCAGTTTCCAGAATCGGACTGCGGCAGTCGAAGCCTTTAGAAAATCCACGGCAGACTCCGCGCGGGGGCACCGGATCCCGAGCTTCGACACCAGAGCCACGTCGGACTTCATCGGCGGCCCGTCGAAGTCGGCGGCCTCGCTTTGCAACCCATCCACACTGACCCGAGTTCCGCCCGCCAGCCCGGAAGCGTTGGCGCATCCCGCTAGGGGGCGGCAGATCGCATTGGACATCAAGGGCATCGTTGAGCTTCTCAAGGAGAATGCCACTAGTGCAAACCGCAGAGCGGCGTTCGCCTTCCGCGGGAAGTTCCTTGGCATCGGCACTTCCAAGCAAGCCACTAAGAACGGCAACCTCCGAACGGTGGCCGAAGCGGGGTTCGCGGGCGCCGGCGGCGGGTAGATCGCGGTGGCCGCGCGGCAAAAGGGGGCGCGAGCACTTCGCCCACGCGCGCCCGGGGTCGGATGCAGCGCTGCGCTTGAGAACGAGGTGAAGATCAACATCTGGCCTGGGGCCCACATCAGCACCGCGGGAGATCAGGCTCAGTCGTTGACAAGCTTGGACGCCACCAGTGCGTGGCGGCCGAGGTGATCACCGCCCAATGGGCGCCGTCTTCCGGCGCCGGTTTAGCGAGTGCCCTGGAGGCCGCGGCGCGCTCCACGCGCGCAGCGGCGTCGGCCGACGCGATTGCCCACCCCCAGCCCATCGCGTTCCAGATCAACCGGCGCCTCCTGGACGCGCCGCTACAGCGGGACACGATGTGCACGCAGGACGGCGGCCTCTTCCTCCGGAATTGCCGTCTTCGGGATTGCGCCGGGGGGGGGGGCGTAGACGCGGTCACCGATGCCGCCCCGACACCCTGCGACTGCTCGCCTCCTTGCATCATGGAGGTGGGCATCGCGCCTCTGGACGCAGTTTTTTCCCACGAGTGCGTAGCGCATGTGCTGCGGCCTCTCCGCGGTGCCCGGCGATGTCGTTCTGCGGGCGCCTGCGAGTCGCATCGTCGAGGATCCGCTCCAAGGTTTGGCAGTCTGCCGCGACGGTGGCAACGGCGCCGGTGCAGACCGGGCGCGGCTGCTGGCGCGCGGCCAAAGTGAAACCAGAATGGAGCCCCTCGACGATAAGAGGGCGCTAACAGGTCAGGTGTTCAAAGTGACCTCGATAGAGGCCGCGCGGCTACTGACCGAGCCGCCGGAAGGCGCAAATGGCAAGATAAATTTGGTCGGGCACTGCAACTTCAAAAAGATGTTGACCTGCCGCTCGGGCGAAGAAACGGCTCTCGCGATCGCCCCCGCCGTCGAGCGCCCGGCGCCAGGCATTGCCAGCGCGGCCGACGGGGCGCGCCGAACGGCCACAATCGAGCACGTCGTCAAGCTCTCCAATGATGAAGTCCTAGCGCTGCAGAAGAGCACGGCAGCGGAGTGGAAAGCCATTCTGACGAGCCCGCCGCAGGGCTCCAGTCAGGCGGCGCCCACCATGTCTACCCAACAAGTGGACGGCAGTTATTGGTCGGAGGAGCGCCAGCCTAAACTCAGGCGTCTCCAATCCGAGCCCCAGTCCCCGAAAGCGTAGACACAGCGAACGTGTCTCGGCGCCAGACTTCGCCAGCGCCTGCCGAGCCACGACCGCTACAATCACGAACGCCACAAGCTCTACCGCATGAAGATCCCCTGGTCGTCGTCGTCGTCAGTGAGCGGGCCGGCCGGGTTGCCGAATCCTCTCGATTAGTTTTTGAGTTCAGCTCGCCGTTGACTGTGAGCGGGTCAGCCGTGCTGCCGATTTTGCGCCATGAGTCTTTGCGTCAACTGGCATGGGCGGAGAGAAGGAGAGAGCGGCACGCGTGTCGAGCGGCATGCGTGTCGAGCGGCATGGGTGCATCTTCTCGATCAGTTTTTGAGCTCACCTCGCCCTCGACAGTGAACGGGCCGACCACCCTACCGAATCTGCGCCATGAGTCTTCGTGCCGAGCGGCATGAGCAGAGACAAGGAGGGAGCGGCATGTGTGTCGAGCGGCATGGGCGTCGAGCGGCATGCGCCACCTGATTTCCTCGGGGCCGCGCCCCACCCTTGCACATGAACAAAATATGTGTCATTTCGTTGGTTC